TCGTACAACTCATTTTCCCTTCCACATCTTCTAAAGAAGCAAGATTCAAGTCACTCGTGCAACACTGCTCTCTTAGCTTTTGTTCAGAGATTCTGAACCGTCTTTATATGAACTTACACTTTGTCTAAGGAAGCACAAAAAGGGGTGAGATCATACCTTCACCATTAACCACTACACTTAGCTTCATATTTAAAATCTAATATCCATTTCTCCACTAAAAAGTTAATGAAAAGTATAATTCAATGCATTAACCTGCTCATTCAACAAGCATTAATGATTAATGACTCAACAAGCATTTTCTCCTCATTGCTAACCAGATAAAGAGGTAAGTATGGAGTCTGAACAAAACACAGTCGCTTCTGCCATGGAGTTTGCCAAGTTACCTTCCAGGGACATATTCTATTAGAGACCCTGTACCCATGCACTGCAATCACTACATTTTATTCAGTCACAGAACATTAAAAATGGCTTATGGTAAAAGCATAATGCGACGTTATGCAGTGTCACTGCCAAACACCTGTTTCCAATTTTTAACCTTTTTTTTTTTTTTTTTTTAAAGAACAGTTTATTGATATTCAGAGAGGGAGAGAGAAAGATTGGTGTGAAGGTACAAGATTGATCCGTCAGCTGCCTCCTGCATATCCCCAACCAGTGATCAAGCCTAAAACCCAGGCATGGTCCCTTGACCAGAAATCAAACCAGCAACCCCCTGGTGCACGGGATGATGCCCGACTAACTGAGCCACACCAGCCAGGGATGTTTCAAATGTTTAATACATGGAGATGCTGCAGTGAAATATACCACAGCAAAATAAGGTAGAAATCATCATGACCATTTTCCTCTGATATACCAACAAATATTTTGGAAGAAGAAAACGAAAAAGACAAGTTTTGTTTTAAATAAAAGAGTTTTGAATAGATAATATACTTTTTTTCCCCCCAAAGATTCTTCACATTAATTTTTCAAACAGCCAGAATTTGGCCACTAAGAGAAATTTGCAAACATTCATCGACTCTATTAGTGTTCACAAGGTCACATAATAAATGTTGGTAAATCTGGTTGCCAAATAAACACAGTTGAATTTTAAAGTGTTTAATGCATGTATTTTATTAAAATGGTGTCTTGCACTGCGATATGTGGTTTCAGTCTGTTCAGTTACTCAATAGATACATTTAAAACAATGCTCACAGCAACAATTACATCAGCTCACTATAGAAAAGGACATACACTTAAGTAGCACTTTGGTAAATCATAAAACAAATGTGTACCAGAGCAATTCGGCAGAAATCACATTAATTTTGGACATAACAAGCTGCTATATTATGTACTGGAAGCCAGTGGCAGATTAGTTATTCTTGGAGGTGGGATAACTCCATGACCTCACAGCCCAGAACACTTGATATGACCATCAATGAACCGTTTCAACCATCTAACAACCAAGGGGAGCTGCCAGAGAGCCAACTGTTCTTCCAGATGCCAAACGCATCAGGCAGGTCATCATAATCCGGCCTTTTATTTCTGCTTAAATCATCCAGATAAGTGAATCTAACAACAAACTGTAACTCAACCAAAAATGTATGTCACTTTTCAGACATGGGCATGTGAACAATTGAAGTGCTAAAGGAAAATACATGTTGAATTGTTTGGTGTTAAACTTTACCATCCCTTCCCCCACCCTGCCTTGAAGCATTTTCTTACTGTCATATGACCATGAGACGAAATATTTGTCCATTCTTAGAAAGGAAACTAAATGTCCTGGCTGATATTTAAGACTTGGCATAGGTCTACTCATTCCCTGCCGAGATTCTAAAAAAAAAAAAAAAAAAAAAAAAAAAGATAAATCAAATTCCTCTTTGAAAAAATAATTTGTATTTGGATTATGTGCTAGTAATTCTTCAAAGTAAGTAATTTTTTTAAAGGTTGGAACTCAAGTAAAGTTCATATCATAGAGTACAGAGGTTCAAAACTGATCCCTCCAAAACTATTTTTTTTTTTTCAGGAAAAAAAAATGCATCTGACTTTGAAGTACTTAAAGAGAAAGATCTGTAACAAACAAACAGCTGATGGAAAGAGGTACAGCATTTACTTTTGAATGTGTAAGGTACTTAATTTGTGAAAAATCATAATTTCAAGATAATTTTGCCAAATAAATGTTGGCAAATAAAGTTTGGCAACACATTTTAGAAAGATGATTTATATACTACATATAAATGAAAGGCAAACTTAAATACAAATTATTTAAGCTTAATTACAATATAATTTACACCATATCTAAACTCACGTGGTAATAGCCACATGGCAAATTTAGTTATAACAAAAAAGAAAACTATAAAAATCCTTTTACTTCCATTTGCATAATTCCCAATAGTAGACCATCCATGTATGCTTATCTTTTATGAATTATAATATTATAATCTGAAAATTGTCCTTCAACACTGTGGCTTAAAAAACAAACACAAGTATATTTCATGCCTTAGTCCAAGTTAATCAGTTTGGAGTTTTAAAAGCTTTTGAGGTGAAGCAGAGCACAGCCTGACCAACCCTACAAATTTCCCTTTGTCAAACCTGGAATCCACCTCAATGCACTGGTGACTCAGACCTTTGAAATTGCTAACATCACTCCCACCTTTAGTTTTTAAAGTAAAAGGAAAATGGTAATGTGAAGAATTCAAAACAAAAATGAAACATCTCTAACTATCATTTTGTGCTTTAGAGTTTTTATTTCCTTATTAGTTTGGAAATGCTCCATATTCTGAAATGTAGGTTGCATATTTATGTTCCACGGATCTGATTCAAAAAGAACAAGGAAGTTTTCCAGCTCCCTCATCTACCTTGGAGTCCTCACTTCTCAGACAACAAATAGGAGACTATACCCTTTTCTGTGATATTTTCCTTTCTTTCACCAAACTTTCTTTGAAAAAAAAAAATAAGATACTTCTTTACTATTTGTTTGTTTGTTTTTTTGTATTTTTGTATACAAAATTTTAACATAAGCTGGAAAACTCAAGATTTATTTTCTTCCATTTCCAAAAAAGGTGAGAGAATGTGAACAATATATGCTAGGCCTTCTTCCTTCTACTAAGCCTTCAGATAAAACTTAAAGAAAAAAGGTCAACCCCAAAAACTGAGAGTTGAAGATATATACTACACCAAATTTATCTTTTTGGTTTTTCTTTTGTTTCTACAGCAAAACTCCATGTCATTCTTAACACCCAGTATTTTCCTACATCCTATTTTATAGGCAAATTACCATGTAACAACATAGCTTCAACATACTAGTTCTTCCCTGGTTTTCCACATAATCACCACCATGAAATATCTCCTAGAGCCATTTTTAAAGTCACCTCACATGCTGATAACCATTGATTCTCCACTATTAAAACTGCCTTCAGGTTGTCAAGAGTCCCTAGATATAAACATCAATAATTTAAAGCTGTTGAAAGAGCTACACAGGATTGTTCCCTTTAAATTTTATGTCACTGCAAAATATACATATGTATAGACACTCACACATATAACAAATTTACATTGTCTACAGAAATAAACTGCAGATATAATTCCAAACACACATTGAGAGAGTCACATTTTAACAGCAAACTTACATGTAAATATAAGGAAGTATAGTTTTATACTCCTACTTGAGGTCCAATGCACAAATTCATGCACAGGTAGGCCGGCAATCAAGGCCTATCAGGGACCAGCCATCCAGGGGGAGGGAACCTGGGAAGGTGGCCAACTGGCCCCCAGATCAGAGCCTATCAGGGGGCAGGCGGGGGGTGGGTGGGAGGGGGTAAGGACCACAGGAGATTGGCCAGCCAGATGGGGTAATGGGCCATAGGAGGTTGGCTATGGGAGCTCATTGACCACCAGGGGGCATCTCCTGTGTTGTCTGCCCCCTGGTGGTCAGTGGTCATCACAGCAACTAGTCGACTGGTCATTCTGGTCGTTCCAGTCATTCAGTTGTAACAGTTGCTTAGGTTTTTATATATATAGGTATTACATAGCAAGCTGAAATATAGAATGCTTTAATGTTTTAGATTTATCCTTTCTTATGAGTCTTAGAAATAAGCAAAAAGCTATGTATATATACACACACACACACACATATATAGCAGTATCAGTCAATATGGTATTATTACTGACAAATTATCCAAATTGCTTAGTCTATACAAAAAGTGACATAAACATACTATATACAAAAAGGGTTAGAGACAACAAATGAAAACTTTATACAAGAGACTTGATACCATTGGTATTTAACTTCAAATAGCTTTGACCAGAGGACTCAGCCTGTTCATTCTGTTCTGATATGAAAGAATAGTCATGTCTCTATAGTATTCTTAGCTACAAAATAGAAATGAATTGGGGGAGAAGGGTAACCTTGTGACAGTTGAAAAATATAAGTGCACTGTTTAGAAATATGTATATAATTTAGCATGTCATATTATCTGAATTAATTTCTTTCGCATTGTTACATGGACCAGTTAAGTGGTCCAGAATACAAAATATAGTAACAGAGAACTCAGTTTTCACACTAATTCCTTGGTAAAGTTATTAAAAATTAAAACATTTGCTGACAATACATTGAGGAATTGTGAAAAATACTGACTACTATTACAGAATTTGAAGACAAGAACCTGTTCAAATGAATAAACAAAAGTGATCAAAAGAAACTCATAGCTGCCTAAGAGTTTTTAAAATTAGAAATGTAACACTCAACAAGTATATCAAACCACTTTTCATGAGCTCACTCAGCCTAGAGACCCACAGTAACTGAATTACACATCTTTATATCGAGTATGTACAGTTGAACATAAATATGACGGCCGTTCCCGACATGGTTGACGGTTAGGTAAATGGTTACTAAGTTTACACAAACGTGTGTACTGATCTAGGGAGTCACAGGTTTACTCTGGTACAGCTGACGTTTTTATCTAATCAGCTTCTTTATTTACTTAGAGAAAAACTGTTGCACAGAAACTTGAGGTCCCAGCCAGCACTCAGGCCCATCGCCCACTGGAGGCGAAGCCTCGGCTGAAGGAGAAGTTGATTTCAGAGTTCTTGTATTTCCCCCAAGCACCAAATGGCACCACGATGATAGTACTGTTGTCTTCGGCACCAAACAGCATTGCCTGTGGGGTTTGGCAGGAAGGAAGAGAAAAATACTGGAAATCAGAGTCTGTACAAAAAAGTATCCTCCTTCCTCTGGCAAGTCAACTGATTTAACACAGTTACTAACCCGATTATGTCACAGTGTCTGTGATTCTTTCACGGGGTGTCAATGCCCAGTTTATTAGATTGCACATAGAATAACAGATGACCCAAAACAACCATATTGACTATATTCCACTGCAGCAATTTTGGCAACAGAAACACCAAAGGACTAAGGTATCAGATATGCAGCTACTGAAGAAGAAAATATCTGTCAAGTATTTAGCACAGGAACTAATACAAGGTATAGATTCACAAGGTGTTAGTCCTTACCTAGCAATTCTTTTTTCAGGAATTTAGCCTAAAGAAATAATAACCTAAGGAAGTGGACATGTATAAAGTTATAACTATAAGAAAGTTTATGCTCCCTACAAAATGAAAAAGTGGCATAAACTAAATTTCATAGAGTAGGAGAACTATAAATCAATTTCAGGAACTAATTCAAATGGCAAATGAGATAGTCAGCATGGTAAGAGATACTTGGGATTGAAACAAATGTATTTCAAAAGACCTCACAGCCTCAGGCTGAAACTGTGAAGGAAAGGGTTGATCAAAATATCTGATGAAAAAGCTTCAGAAAGTAAAAAAAGTTTTACAAACAAATTGAAATACAGGAAAAAAATGTACTACAATAATTAATATATAGCAAGTTCTTACAATAATCATGAAAAAGGCAAGCATATATAATAATAAAAGTATAATATGCTAATTAGACTGGAGCTGCGAGGGAAGCCCAGGTCCCAGGTGCCGGAGGGAAGCCGGTGCTGGCAGCCAGGGGAAGGAAGGCCTACTCTTGCACAAATTCCGTGCATCCAGCCTCTAGTATAAGATAATGGAAAAAGCAAGCTGTACACAGATGAGAAATACAAGCCATAAAACATACTAGAAAAGTGTAAATTGAAATATCTCTGAAGGGCAATTGGGAATATTGTGCATTCTTTACCTAGCAATTTTTCTTATTAAGACTAACCTAAGAATACAATACCTGAAGAAAATAGATATGCACAAATAGATATAAGAAGTTTATTATAGTGTCCCTCATACAATGGGGGAAAGTGAATATAAACTAAATTTGCTGATTAGGGGAATTGTTAAAGGACTTGTGGTACACAAATATAGTGGAATGCTGTGCAGTCATTGTAAATAGCATTGTCCTCATAAATTAGAACACATTTATATCAAGAGAGGAAGTTGAAAATTAGGAAAGAAGTGATCATCAATGAAACTGGGCCCGTTTTCTTAATCGAATGAGCACACATAATAACCAAGTGAATAATTCATGCTTACCCATTTATTTTTGAGCAAATAATGCTTTTTTTAGTAATGTCTTTACTGTCTTAATTACACATACTAATACTTAAAATGTGGGCCATGCTGCTCTCTATGTCCCATCACTTCATTAATAAACTCGCTTTCACTTTAAACTCTAAACAAAAGTTTGGACCAAATTTGACTCCGGAATTGAAAATGTAGAAAATCAGGAAATGCCAAAATAGCTGTTGAATTAAACTGTGCCTCTAATGATCGGTAATGGCTCTAACTTAAAAAGTTACCCCAAAAGAATATTACACAACACGTGGAAATTTTTTGTTTTCTCTACTGGTATTATCCAGCTTCTAAATTTTAGCTCTGACCAACACAGTGGCATACAACACATCCATACATTTTTTTGTATTTTTTTCTTCACATCCATCCTCAGAAGCCAGACGTTGACCTACTATAGTGTCTCTGTATTGGGTAATTACTTGGAGAGTCTAATTTAATGGTGAAGGGATTAGACTTGGGAAACTGGCAGTCCAAATTGCTTAGTCTATACAAATTGCTTCGTCTATAGTTTGAAGCCCAACCGACAACAAATATTCTGCGGCTTAATGGTTTTGTGGTCTTGACTAAATCAATTTAACCTGCGTGCCTCAGTTTCCTTCATCCATTAGAAAGAGATAATGCTAGTTCCAACCTTAGAGAGTCATGGTGATAATTAATGAGTCAAACACATATCAACAGAAGAGTATCTGATACATAGTAAGCAATATTAGTATTTAATATTATGATTTACTATGTGCTGTAACTATTATTTCAAGATGTGTACAAAGCCAAAAAATAAACATAGCATATTTTCTTGGCATATTAATTTTACTTAACTATTTGGGAGAATTGTAAAAAATGTTATTTGTTGTGTTTGTGTTTTTTTTTAATATATTTTATTATTTTGTACAGAGAGGAAGGGAGAGAGATAGTTAGAAACATCGATGAGAGAGAGAGTCATCGACCAGCTGCCTCTTGCACACCCCCTACTGGGGATATGCCCACAACCAAGGTACATGCCCTTGACCGGAATCGAACCCGGGACTTTTCAGTCCCCAAGCCGACACTCTATCCATTGAGCCAAACTGGTCTCTGGCTGTTTGTGTTTCTTTAAAATATATTTTTATTGATTTCAGAGAGGAAGAGAGAGGAAGAAAGAGAAACATCAATGATGAGAAGGGAATCATCGATCAGCTGCCTCCTGCACACTCCCTACTGAGGATTGAGCCCACAACCCAGGCACATGCCTTTGACTGGAATCCAACCCAGGGCCCTTCTCTTTCTTCCTCTAGTCAATTTTACACTTGATTCTGTAATATTTCCAGTTTAAAACATTTTTACACGCTAGCCCTTTGGGTGTTTCCTTCATCCATTAGAAAAATAATGCTAGTTCCAACCTTAGAGAGTGTAAAATTCATTCCAACCTTAGAGTCGAGTGTAAAATTCATTGTATTATACACTGGAGCTGAAACATAAGATTCAAAGAAATCAATCTGTGGTGGCCCCTCCAGGCTGTACCAAAACCTGCACCTGGTTTTGTCCTTCTCTCCCACCCCACCCACCCTTCCCCAGGGGACTTCTGTAGCAGAAGCTCGGCTGTATCACCTGTTCAGTCACTGCCTGGGCCGCTTCAGTGGGATCATGGCACTGATTGACAAAGTCACAAATTTCTTGACTGTTCACTATGAAATTAATTCCATCCGTAGTGAGGACCAAGAAGCTGTCATGGGCATGATGTAGCTGCAATAAAACCAAATTCATAGGATTATAAACTATACTTGGCCTTGGAGTGATCATGATTAGAAGATTTGTTTGCTGAGTGGTCATCTGTGTTTACAGCTTGTAGGCAAACAGAGTGAAAATGGAAGGCTTGTATTTAGGGCAAAAGTAGCAACATTTAGCTTCAACCACCAAGGACAAACCTAACATTTACTTAGTAACACCACAAAGGAAGCAGCCAGCTGGCGGGGTGCCAGGAGCCGCAAACTGTAATGGTGGAAAGCACCTTCTCTGGAGCCAGGCTTCCAGTTTAAGTTTGAAACCTGCCTTTATTTTTCTGCTGAGCAAGCAGAGGTAAGCTGGGTTCCACATGCTCTAGATTTGTTTTCTCTATAAAATGGGGCGGTAGTAGCTATTTTGAACAGAGCCTGACATATAGCAAACACGATATAAGTATTTCAGAAAAAATCAGTAGAAGTGGGCTACCTATAATGAAACGGTTCTGTTAATTGACAAACGTTTGCTACAATTATTGGCAGCCTCCGCTACGCTGTGCCAGGTACTAGCACGTGACAGCGACTGCAGAGGGGGAAGTGTTGGGACACGTCGGGTAATGTGGACGTTAATTAGTATCACAGGATGTCACAGAAATTGAGATGAAGCGATTCTTTAGTGTGGTGGGAAGGAAACAGGTTAGCTCCCAGGTAGCGGTGAAGCTAAATGAGCAATCAGGTGCCCGTGAGGAAGAGCAGGGAAGCCACATTCTGCGGTAATCCCACAGCGGGGTGAAACCAAAACCAAACACACCATCATACAGTGGGCCTGGAAGGTGGTATCTTGTGTTCTCTGAAAAGTTTCTCTATCCTTCCCTTAACGACTCCCTTTTAAAAGTTACTGGCTTCACTTAAAATTTCCAAGAAAGCCTGTAGCTGGAGACACCTGCTTTCATTCCTTGTATGTGTAGCAAGTGTTTGCACGGCCTTTCCTACCTTAATCCTCTTTGTTTCGGGCTCTGCTATCACACCACTGCTTTTAAGATCCAAGTCTCCGAGACTCCTCGTCATCGCAAGTCTGCCATTCACATGAGGCTGGCCCAAACTATTCCACGCTACAAAACCGCCACATTTCTTGATCCTGATCAAGAAAAAGTTAAGACCGGAAAACAAGGCACGGTTAAATTTAAAATGCCAGCTTTGGTATCTATGAAGTATCATAAAAAGCATCCTCATCAGTTGGAGGTGGTACCTTTCTTTTTCATCTTTTCTTTCCGGAGTATGGTCAATGGTCAGCTTGATGGATTTTCCTTTTCTACACAAAATAGCCCGGCTGTCCCCAACACTGGCTACAACCAGTTCAATACCGTCTCTCAACAGGGCTACTGTTGCAGTAGTCCCAGAGGTCAAAACGGTTGCTGAAAACATTATAAAGAAGAATGCAAGTTATTGACAGTCAAATGATCCAATATAAAATTTTCATTACAAAATAAAACACAGGTATGTTAGACTAATTCTGAAATGTACCACTGTAATTTAACTAGGGCTATGCAAGTGAAAAGCAAATGAACTACGTAAGTAAGAGCATGCAGAGAAAGGAGTATTGGATTCAGTGGCAAGGCTCCATGCAAACAGAAAAAGTGGCTGTCCTGATTGAGAAATAATGCATCACTGTCCCCAGGTGGACTCTATTTAGAACAAGTAGAACTGAGATAGTTTATTATAATAACATTATGACACCTTTGTGTATACATCAGGCATCAGAATTAAAAGCATTACAATTTAATTAGGTTGGCTAAAAAGTTAGGATGGCTTAGGTCTATTGAGCCCATTCAGGCAAGCCAACTTTTCTATAATCTGTGGACTCAGATGTTTTCTCTTTCATTTCTTACTCCTATCCTGTGGAAATAATATCAGTAAACAGGCTAAGCAAAATATGCCATGGGCATATCGTTTGCTCTCCAAGAGCTATATTTTATATTCTTACCTTCTACAACTATTTCAATTTTACAATTGTTTACCCAAAAAAAATCCTAAAATAGTTGAAGACCTGGCCTTTTCTGTTTATCTTTGTGGTACCAGTCATGAAACAAAGTTATGGTCATCATTTTATTGGGAGAAATTTGAGGGGAAGGATGAAATTCATTCTGGTTTCCCATAAGCTGGGTGCAGTTAACACTCCAGAAGGATCGAACACAATCTGTCTTTGTCCAAATGCAGGACAGCACTGCCAAGGACTCCTCCCATGGTTGTTCCCTGAGCCCAGAGCATTCCAAGAATGTTAATTTTCTGTGACCAATAACAAAATCAAATGTTACACGGCTTGAGGTCACCACTATTTCCTCCATCCCATCCTAACTGCATTTTTTATCATCTTCCTTTGACTTTTTCTAACTGTGTCTACTCTCAGTTTATTACCACTGGGGGGGGGGGGGGGGGGGGGGAAGAGACACAAAAAAAATTAAGGTGCATTGAGCCTTGCCAAAGAGAGAATAGTGTAACATTATGGGCTAAAAACTAAAACAAACTGGAAGAAATGAAATAAAATAAAAACATTTAAAGCAGGTATTGTCTTTTGTAATGTGGTTAATTCTTTAGTGCACCTATATAAAATATTCAGGTGATAATCCAAAGATGATTTTTACTTCAAAGGTAGATTTAGGAAAAATGAAGTGATATTGATTTCACTAACTGAAGCTCAATCTTGACTTTTTTTTTTTTAAGAGATAATTTTAAAAACTTCATCAGTAATTCACTTTTGGAAAGATATATATTCCAATCAGTTTATTAATGCCTGCTTTAATCAATAAAGTAAAATGGAGAAAGATGAATAAAGCCTACTTTAACCTTTTATATCAATGCTGAATTAACTGAAAAATAGCATTTATAGTTCTACTATCTTGCCATGTGTCTGTTGATTTTGGAACTGTTTTGTCAAAGCCACAATATCTTGACAATGCTAAATTGTATTCGTCACTGTATGACATAAAATCAGTGATGTTTTTATTACAAATGTTAATTAGAGTTTTCCAAACACTATAAAAGAGAATCATGAGAGTTTAATGGCTGTAATATTTTCAAATTATTGGAAGAGCCTGGCAAGGGAACAGCAGAGGTATTTTATTGACTCAGATGCTATCTGTCCAGGAAGATTAGTTACCTCTCCTTTGTTTAAACTGTCAGCGGCAGCTTTTTAAAAAGTACCTTTTAATTGGCTGCATCAAAAGAATTAAAGTTTCATAAAGGATAATTTCAAGTTTAGCTGTTCAGGATTATAATCCATGGCTCTGCCACCTAGGAATTTCAAAGAGCTTATGTTTTCACCAACCCAGCTTCACAGTTCCAAAATCCAAGGGTTTAAGGGAAAGCTTTCAAAACTAACTGCTGGTTTGGTAAGCATCTAAGAATATAAATATTAAATCAACATTTACTTTATTTAACATTTAATATAGGAATAAAAATTCTCACTTTTTGCCCTAACAACAAAACTATAAAACTAAGACATCTTTCAATTAAGTTCTTAACACTCACTGGACATTTCCTACTGCAAGTCATCTCAACTAATGGGGCAAAGAGGATGTGGGAACCTTCCGGTAGTCCAGGCTAGGAACCGCTGGACTCCTTCGCCTGGGACAAAATTAAGCTGGTCTCTCTTTCCACTGAAGCCCAGCGTATAGTGTCCACGGGCTCCAGGTCTAGAGCTGCTGCCCAGGCACAGTTCTCTGCCACAAATAACACGCACAGAGGCAAATAGGAAATTCACCCAGGAATTGTGCACAGACATTACAAACCTGCAACACAGGGGAGGGCAGAGAAAGAGCTGCAAAATAAGGGGAAGGGTTTTTATGTTGGTGAACACTTCACTTGCAAATTACTTAATATTCCAGGAGATGCCAAATCCAAGATTCCAAAACTCAGTTTGCACGTGTTGATGGTATTTTGTAGTCAAGCCTATTTTCTCATCACAGAGTTACACTGTTTCGTTTTGTGGCTTCCCAAGGTAGGAAAAGCCGTGTACAAAGGCTCGTGTACCAAAACACACAAGTGGTGATGCAGACACACATCTGCATATGCTCTCACACAACACACTCTCACTTAGCCTGGAAGAGGAAAGCAGTAGCTTTATTGGCTTGGGGGGGAAAAATGCACTGCATGTTCGTTTGGTAACAATATCAGAACTGTCTCAAAATCAGAAAGGAAAATTCAAAGTCTAGCACTGAATACAGTATTTGTTGTATCTGACAAACAGTACATGGTTAGAGAAGATGTGAACCACAATATACCACCAAGTTACTGAGATTAAAATGTATACATAGCAAGGAGGGATCAAAGCACCTCCGATACCAGATACAAAGAGAAACTCATTTGTTAATGGAGCTCAATGCAGGGGTTTAGTATCTAGAAGCCCTTTTTTTCTTCAGTAGGATGATTGTTTAAATAAAGGCTAGTGGAGCTCTTTAGCTTTATATAATTCATAAAGTGGTGTCTCTGCAGCTCTCTCTTTCTCCCAGTGTTGCAGGTCAACATATCAAAACAAAAATGATCAAGATTTTGAATGGCAACAGAAAGAGTAAAAGCTGTACTGTTCAAGGCATGACTCCCATCCCCCCCCCCCCTGGTAATTATGCAACTGGTAATTAAGCACTATGTATAGACCAATACAGTTTCAATATTTATTTAAGATGGGTGTTCTGGACATGTGTGACTCATGAACACCAAAATCTAAGAGCTGAGATCAGTAATAGCACAGTAAGAGTATCTCTTCAGTGCCATCCCTCTATTTTTTCTCTTTTGGCTACCCTAGCATAAGAAGGGTACTCAAAAGCATTGCCTTTCTAACACCGGCCGTGTTGTAGTTAAATTCTTCCATAAAGAGATCACATGGTATGAAGAGCATGGAAGTTTCCGATGAGACTCACAATGCTGTCACCATCTCCAACTCTGAACGTCAGAGCAAGTCTTCCCGTTTTTATCCATTTGTCTCTTGAGAAGTTTTGTTGCTTTCAAACCTTAAGCAATCTAGAAACACTCTGAGGAGTTCATAGGATATACAGAATTACAATCTAAGTTTTCTACCATCTGGTTTAAGTGGCAGTTTCATAAGCAATAGACTAATGGAATCATTTGAATGTACTTGCTGGTTAATTAGTAAAATATACATGACTGGTGTAAATGGAACATAAAATTTTCAAAGATGATGATGAAATTAATTATGTGTAAATAAGGGTAAATTAAAAATTTGTCAATAAATCAATAAAAATAACAATTTATTAAGGGCTAGAGTCTTGCCATTTCATCATAAGTGGCATTTTGATTTTATTCTCAAACTACCCCCAGTTTAAACTGAAATAGTAAATATTTTAAGTGCTAATGGGGTCATTTGAAGTACTAGTACTTTATACAGATGTGACAGTTTGGGAATAGAGTCTTTTTTTCTTTTTTTTTAATCAACTGGTTGCCTCCCATATGGACAACTTAGGTATGGAAATCGAACCTGAGACCTTTTGGTCCACAGGACAATGTTCCAACCAACTGAGCCAGGGCTGGATTAAAGTCTTAATGAGAATGTTTTATTTTTACTTTATTTTCACTTTCTCTTAAAAAAGCTAATGTAGTATGATTGAGGGGCACTCCTCTCAATTTATACCTGAAATTCCAATATTAGTAATTCATTCCTATGAGTAAACCAATCTTTTTTCAGGTTTTCCCTACTTAAAATTCAAGTCCACTCAGGAGTGAAAACTCATTGAAACATACGCATTATACTAATATTTTGTTAAATTAGCTATAGAATAATCAAGGAATAAATTATAAGGACTTTGGTGAGGGCGAGTAGGCAATGGAGATCAATTAGATCCAATTGAGTACCTTCCAGATTCTATGCAGGGTCCTGAACAATGGAAAGTCAACCCGGAATAAGCATGGTCCCCAACTGAAAGCAACTCACAGGAAGCATTAAAGGAGAAAATGGGGCTGATGCTAAAAGAAAAGGTGAAAGAAACTGGAAAAGGAAAACTGCAATTACTTCACGATTTTACGTAACTAATACTGGTCCTACCCATATTTATGTCGAAAAGAATAATGTCGCCCGGCCAGCGTGGTTGAGCATCGACCTATGAACCAGGAGGTCACAGTTCCATGCCTGGTCAGGACACATGCCTGAGTTTAGGACTCGAACCCCAAAAGGGGGTATGCAGGATGCAGCCAATCAATGATTCTCTCTCATTGTTGGTGTGTCTATCTATTTCTCCCCCTCTCTTCCTTTCTAAAATCAAAAATGTGTATATTTTTAAAAATAATATTGCCCACTCTTATAAATCTTATAATACTGACACTGCTTTAGTTCTTACTTAAAACTAAATAATAATAATAATAATAATAATAATAATTAATTTAAATAATAGCTTTGAAATTTGAAATGTCCTAAGGGTTTTCTTAATCCAAAAAATTGAAAAGTTAAACAACATAAAGCATTCTATATTTAGTAGCTTTAACACATTTGATAAAATAGGCCCCAAATGTCTACTGGCAATTTTTGCCATTTTTTTAAAGCCTTGGCATCTTATTATTTAAAGCCTTGGCATCTTATCATTTTAAAGTTGTTCTTAAAGTACTTACTAAAAAAAACAGACTAATCCATCTATAAAAATACAAAATAAGATTTTAAAAAAAAACAATGTCATAATAGACCTTATTTCTTTTACTAATAGACTAAGCATTATTCTGATTTGCTCCATTACACTTGCAAACAAATAGACATTAAATAAAAAAATAAATTTTAGAATATTATTAAAGTTTTTTTAATTGATTTTAGAGAGATGAAGGGAGAGGAACATGGATTTGTTGTTCCGTTTATTTATGCTTTCATCAGTTGATTTTTGTACATGTCTTGCCCAGGGATCAAACTTGCAACCTTGGCATATTAGGAGATGCTCTAACCAACTGAACTAACCGGCTAGGGCTGAAAGTTCTGATCATTAACTCAAAGCATATGACAGAGGAGCTAAATTAAATACATACATTTTAATTTCATTATTAGAAATGGATTGCATTTTTTACAATTAATTTCTTTAAACAACCTCTATTAATATGAGAAAGGCACCATTAGTAAGTTTCTTTTAAGGTCAGCAAGTTAAGTAAATTCTCTCCCTAAATTCTGGATTTCCTTTAGTTATAATTTATTATTTAGTAAATGACTGGGGCCTGACAGGCATAGCTCAATGGTTGAGCATTGATTTATTAACCAGGAAGTCTGGGTTCAATTCAGGGCACATGCTCCAGTTGCAGGTTTGATCCCCAACTTGGGGTGTGCAGGAGGCAACCTATCAATGATTCTCATCATTAATATTTCTATCTCTCTCTCCTTCTTCCCTCCTCTCTGAAATCAATAAAAATATATTTAAAAAGTAAACGACTGGGGTCTTTTACTTAACACTGAATCTATTATTGTTTTCTTTGTTGATTAGGTTATTTACAAAAGGGCTGGACTGGCTGCACCCATGAAGGATTTATGTTTTGGATTACTGTCCACATTCCCATGTTGAACTTGAACATTCTCTTCTGAAAACTTTGCCCAGTAAGTTCTGCCTGTTTATAGAACAACTAGGGCACACCACCTGCACCATGGCTGGTAAACATCATGGTATTAGATACAGCCAATCTAGTTATGAAGAAAATAAACATACAATATTTATACCAATTTTCAGAGTTATAAAAATTAAGTGATCAGAAAGTGTTTTAATGTCCTCTGTTCATTCATATATTTTACCCATTAAGAATAGTTTTATGCCTAAAATTTACCTTCTCTTGACCCCTATTTTTCATAAGATAAGGAATTAAACTAGAAGGAAGAAAAGTCCAAAGGAATAAAGGGGAAAATTAGCCTGAATGAATTGCTGAATAAAATGAACTCTAATGCTTTTCTGAGGCTTATGACAATGAAAAGTTTTTCAAAAATGAGGGGGGAAGCCCTGGCCAGGTAGGTCAGTTGGTTAGAGCATCATCCATCCAGATACACCAAGTTGAGAGTTTGATCCCCAAAGAAGCAACCAATGAATGCATAAATAAGTGGAACAACAAATCAATGTTTCTCTCTCTCTCCCGCTCATATGGTATCAATTTTTTTTTAAAAAGCAGGAAATGCTCTTAATGAGTCATCCTAGAGACATTTGCTCTAATCCTCATCATTAAATATGCCCAGGAGAGAGGCCACAGTGGGTGCCAGGAAAACCCCAGCAATTGCCCTTTGTCTCTCCCTGGGTTTCAGTTTCAGTTTATCTTAGAACTTGGGGGAATTGCCATTTCCAGGCATTCCAACAGAAAATTATGAAAATGACATTTCTGTGGTGCACTTTAAACAAAAGGGTGAACCAAACATAAATTAATATTATTGCATGATCCATTTTCATTCTATATGCATACATTTATATGGTTGTTGCAGAAGTTTTTGAGATTAACTTTATAAGCAAAAATTATGGGAGCTGGCTAACTAGAAAACATTAACTATATTTTCTGAAACGGTTTTGATAAATTTAGTCAAAATCAAAAACATTTACGTACTTTCAGTACTTAAGAACAAGCAACTCACAAAATTTTAAATTCACCTTGTGTTTAACACAAAAACAAAATATCACTAATTACAACAGGAAAGCTGCAAGATCAAATTTTTTTTTTAAGGAGGAGGAGAATAATATCTTCATTCCAATTATACAAAGTAGTATGTGCTAGTCATTGTCTTTTCCTGTCTAGAACCAATTAGCTATTTTCTCCTTGCCTGACTAATAACTGTCCTGACTAGATGAGATTACTGTGTAGTGTATTTCAATTATTTGTTCATCAAATTCATCTAAACAAAAATAGTCCCTCTCATAGCATGGATATCTTGTCCATAAAATATGAAAACAGATAAAAGTTTTTTAAAATAATTTAAAGTTAAAATTCAATATCAGAACCATTTGGAAGCTTCAATTTCCAAAAAAATTCTCCAACATACATATTTCATTTAAAACTGAGGTACTGTCATTAGTTTGAATTCCAAACAGCATTTAAAGTGATTCTTTATATAAAATCATTTTCTACATAAAAAATTTTTACAAATAAAGGTCCATTAAAATTCTCCACCCCTAAAGAGCTTAAATTGTTTCCATTTTATCCAGATATTCCCCAGAACGGTAAGGAATGTGGTTGTTTTACTTACCATCAGCAGACAGATGGGCATGCCTCGCAAAGGCTTTATCTATTTCTAGAAAAGCCAAGGTCAACACGGTTTCCAAGTTCTTCTCCTTAGGAAGCAAATCCCTTTGTGGAGAGGGGAAAAAAGAGGCCCAAAACATCAATTTACAACAGTTGTCTTCTCTTCCTCGTCTCCTCTCCTTCAGGTCATTCTTGCTAGCAGTCACTGCCTACAATGGACCTCCATGGCTTGCCTCTGAGGTGCTAGTTAAATGTCTCCTAGGGGAGAGGCATAGTGATAAAGCCTCTAAGGACACTTAAACAAAAGTCCAAGCTCCCATATTAACAGATTAACCATTACTGCACCTACAGTTACTTACTAGTATGTGCAGTACATAATACTTGATAATGATATAATAAAAAACTGTTAATGGATTTACTATTCTATGCTTCTTATTTTAGAGTATACTCTTTCTATGTATCAAAAATAAGTTTGCTGTAAAATAGTAACCATGTTACACCAGCAGCAGCCTCATACATCTCATACTAAGCCTCATACCTCTCATACTACCCTGAAAAGTTAAGTTCTTTCTTATTAAACTAAGTCACTGAGTTCTTCTACAGAATAAGGCAAAATATGCTTAAATCAACTAATGAACAGTATACACAGAAAGACAAGAAACAGTCATAGCCACAACTCTGTCACATGTTTCCCCCCTCTTTTAATGCTAGCAATAGTGTGGTCCTCAAAAATACATTATACTAATTGCATTAAATAAACTATGTACAGGGCTCCAAAACACCCACATTAAATGCATTTCCCCATACTAATGCCAATTATCTAAAGCCGTTTTCAACAAGTGTTCAAAGCTATTCATGCCCCTTGAGAGTATAATTACTACTTATTGAAGCACTAAGTGCCATGTAAAATGCTTTTGATCGGTTCTTATATGTTAGTTTACTTGAAATAATCACAAATCATGTACTATGAGTTCTGGCTGTTAAAAGAAACAATAGGCCCAAAATGGAGTCACTTGTGGCTAAGCCCATATTACCAAAACAAGGCTTAACACCTAAGTCACTTGCAGTTCCAACCTTTCCCAGGAATAATAATCTTAACTGGTCAGTCTGGAATTTTCTGGTTAGCACAAACGAGGTAACCTTCATACAGGCTCTTTCCATTAGTCAGAGGAAGAAGTAGTTTGCTCTTTCCTTATCCCTTTTCCCCTCTGCCTACAAAGCCTTCCATTTGGTTTCATTTCCTGGGAGCACCTTTCTATTTGCTAGATGGGATGCTAGATTCAGGAATCGCTCAATAAAGCCAATTAGATATTTTAAGTGTGCTCTGTTGAATTTTTGTTATTTAACATGGTCAATGCTATCACCAGGGAAGTTGTTGAAACATACATTTCTGAAATGGTAATAGTCATCAGTAATAAAGGGCATGCTTAAGCTAGTTCTTGTTCATGAAACAATTATAAAACCACTCAAATAACTACATTAAGACTGAACATCTTGCCGAAACCGGTTTAGCTCAGTGGATAGAGCATCGGCCTGCGGACTGAAGGGTCCCAGGTTTGATTCGGTCAAGGGCATGTGCCTTGGTTGCGGGCACATCCCCAGTAGGGGGTGTGTAAGAGGCAGCTGATCGATGTTTCTCTCATCGATGTTTCTCTCATTCTCTCTCATCGATGTTTCTAACTCTCTATCCCTCTCTCTTCCTCTCTATAAAAAAATCAATAAAAAAATAAAAAAATAAAAAAATAAAAAAATAAAATATATATATATATATATATATATATATATATATATATATTTTTAAAGACTGAACATCTTAGCCAAAAGGTTAAAGTTTAAACATAAAGGCAAACTGCAAACTCAAGAGTGAAAAGTCACTGTACGTACATGATGCATTTCTCCATGTGGGTGTGACAGAAATCAGCAGCTGCAGGCCCACCGTGTCCATCATAAACAGCAAAATACAGGACCTCATCGGTCAGCTGGGCAAAGTCAAATCTATCTTCATTCTCTTTCCTTTTGCCAATCTGTGAGGCACAGCCCACCTTTTCCAAGCTGATTTTGGGTATTGGCTTGCCATACTTAATGCTGGGTGGTAGCAGAATTGGCTCATCAATGCGGTTATCCCAGATGCCAAAATTATCCCAGGTGGCTGGACGCCCACTACCATCTGAGTCAAACCGAGAACACCTGGGCTCTGACGTGGAGCTGTGGCAGGTGGGTGTCACCCACCGGTCATCCTGCAGCAGGCGGGAGCTCAGCAGCACTCTCCTTCTCACCTGGCTCCCACCACTTCTCACTAAAGTCATTAAAGCAGCTGTTGACATAACTCAAATCCAAAGGACTCAGTAGTCAGGGAAAGGTCAATGAACAATAATGGAATGTCTTCAAGAAAAATGATGCAACTAAATGAAAAGAAAGCGAGAGAGACTCCATCAGCAATTTTGAATGTAACTGATATATTATGAGATTACCAAAAATGAAGGCATTAAAGAATGTGGCGTCTAACAGCCAACTTCTAAAAGTAGCAGACCAAAAATGACCCACTATTTACCCCATTCAGAGCTTAACTTCCATAAAAATTTGACAATGTACACTTATCATATAGAATCAAGCTTTGACCTACAATCACCTTGGGATCTAGTTAAAATGCACTGGCTCAGTCCGTGTGCATGGGGCCCCACGATTCTGCATTTCTAACCAGCTCCCTGAGGATGCCTGCCTGGTCCAGCAGGCAGACACTTTAAGTAGCAGGAATATAGGATATAGAGATAAATAAATATTCTCTCATTAACTTCATCGTTCTGAAGAAAAGGGACAAATATTACTAACAAAGTTTCTTACAAGCTTTGAGATAGAAATAAGAGAAGAAAAAATAACTGGTTAATCGAATGTTTATGATAGTTCTGTACCCAAAGAATGTCCCAGTTTCAGCAAAGACACACATAGGATCTAAGCTTTGTTATGTTTCAAGATTTCTCCATTTACTAAACTTGACATATGTACATTGGTTCATGCAAACACTCCCAGAGGCACAGGATAAGCCAGTTCTTATGTTTCCCTTTGTGGTAGATACCCCCAGGGAAGGTGTGTCATCTCAGGATTGAGGCACATACATTTGTGACCAGCAACCCTGATTTATGAGCAACTGATCTGTGCATTTTACATTAAGAGTTGCGGCTCTCCCCTCACACAGCCCCAGGAGCCCACCCACACTCACGCCTGCAACTACAGCAGGAGACAACATTTCTTTGAGATGTTTATTCTGCACCCCCACTTCTGGACTCTGTCCCAAAGCTAATCCTAAAACTTCCTCTGGGTATGGTCAGGGGGAATTTATATACCACAGGTTGAGAACCACTAGCAGGGTCGCCTAAGACCATCGGAAAACAGATATATACATTACGATTTATTATAGTAGCAAAATTACAGTTATGAAGTAGCAATGAAAATAATTTCATGGTTGGGGGCCACCACAACATGAGGAACTGTAGTAAAGGGTTGCGGCATTAGAAAGGTTGAGAACCACTGCGCAGGAAGAGCTGTTTCTGGCAGTTTTCCGTACAAAACAAGTTCTAAGCAGAAATCCATCTTCATAGTACTTTGTTCTGTTTTTTGGGTTTTTTTTTAAAAATATTTTTATTGATTTTGTACAGAGAGGAAGGGAGAGAGAGAGTTAGAAACATCGATGAGAGAGAGTCATCGATCAGCTGTCTCTTGCACACCCCCTACTGGGGATATGCCCGCAACCAAGGTACATGCCCTTGACCAGAATCGAACCCGGGACCTTTCAGTCCCCAAGCCAACGCTCTATCCATTGAGCCAAACCGGTTTCAACTGTTCTGTTATTTTATTAATTGAATAGATAACATGAAGTTAAGATTTAATCATGGCAATGGAGGGTATACAGATGTTAAATTATTCAAGAATAATTTAACAATAAAAAATGAGTTTGAAAAAGTAGATTTCCCCAAAAGGCACAAACATACACAATAAAAACAAGCCCAGTTGAGTGAATTAATGAGAAAATGTGTTTAGAGACCTCAAAAAATCATTTTCAAATAAATTTTTGGAAATCAATGTAGCTATGTATAAGAGAAGGCAGACACTCAACACAGGAGCTGCCCCTGGTGGTCACAGGAGCTGCCCCTGGTGCTCCCACAGGGAGAGTGCTGCTCACCTACAAGCCAGGCTGATAGCTGGCAAGCACAGCAGTGGTGGCAGGAGCCCCTCCCACCTCCCAGCAGTACTAAGGATGTCCGACTGAAGGCCCGCTCCACACAGGAAGTGGGCCTAAGCCATCTGTAGGACATCCGCCAAGGGCTCCCTAAAGGGTACATACAGGTCATACTGAGGGGCCCCTTTCCCCCTTCAGTGTACAAATGTCAGTGCACCAGGCCTCTAGTGTTATAATAAAAACTTAGAAGGCCATTCCTTCTTGGCCTTTTAGCTGATATCCTATCTAATAAAAGAGTAATATGCAAATTGACTGTCACTCCAACGTACAAGATGGCTACCCCCATGTGGAAACAAGATGGCCGCCACAAGTATGCCCACAAGTATTAAAATCAATCATCATATTGTCCTCCTTCCTCATTTATTATCTGCACAAGCATCTCAGAAAGTAAGCAGAACAGTCAGAGAGAAGCATTTGGCATAGATGAAATGTCAGGCAAATATATAGCTATCGATAGTTTACATAACTAGGTCAGCATCAATTATGCAAACAGGAAACTCTAAGAAGTGGTTCCATCCTCTTTCCCATAAGCAATAACTAAATCATACTAATCTCCCACATATTCTCAAGAAAACAATTCAAAGAGGACCTGTGTTCCCAAGCTAAATAACAACTTTGTACTAACTCTGAACATCAAGAAGTTTCCTCCATTGCTTCAAACTAGGAATCAGCCAACAGCTCTCCAGCTGCCCAAGGAAATGTCTATGTACCAATTATCAGGCAAGAGAGTAGAACTTATGATGTAAAAAACACAAAAGAACATTTAAAAAAAAAAAAAAAAAAAAAGCAGTGCTTCTTTCTTTAAAAAAAACAATTAGTGTTCTTTATAATGAAAAGAGTGGAGAGCAAACTGACAAACACGAAATATTTTTATTGTCAGTTCAGCAAGTATAAATCAGTATGTATATATTATTTTGCTAACTAAAAAAGTTATTCAGGAGTCATTTATGCCAATCTTTCAATTGAAAATCAAGGCTAGCTTATTTCTATAAACCATTTTAACATGTATTAATATATTCAATTTTTGAAAGTAAAAGTCATCCAAAAGGCTCAAAGGGCAGAAGTAATTCTGCTTGAAAGCCATTTGAAGACACAAAAATGTCGCAGCATTACACGGACTAAGAGCACAAGAAAGCATAATTATACACATCATATTCTACTGTCAAAAATTAAATGTAATGCTAAGCAAGGAAATAAAGGTAAATAACTTGATCAGACCCAGCTACATAACAGATGTTATTTAATAAGCAACATAAACTGCATTGGTCGTCATATACCAAAAGGGAGGGGAAAAATCTATCTTCCACTTAGATCAAACTGTTTTCCAAATTTCTTTTTATTTCCCAATCAAAACCAAAATGTATAGCTCACATTTACTTTACTCACATTAATTTTTTTAAATTCATACACATACACACACACAGACAACCCTATATATTCTACATATTGTCAATAAATAAACTGAAAGCACTTTCCTTTTTTATCATTTTCAAATTGATTTGCATGACCAGGCCTACTTCATCTTCCTCTTCCTCAGTGCTTTAACTAGCTAATCTGATCATCTGTCACAGAACTCAGACTGTGAAAAACATTGTCCCCTAGGTTAGCACTTCTGACTGGGGCTGGGAGGAGGTAGATGGAGGGGATTCTCAGCAAAGGCATAAAAAGTAAGAGGCATAGAGATTCTACATAAAATCACTGGTGAAAGCCCACATCCTGAGAGCAGGAAATCTCATGTGAAAAGCATCAGGCATGACGAAAAATACATTTAGTTGTAGTAAACGTCTGAAGTACATACTGTCCTCGATTTAAAAACAAAAGGGAGTGTGAAGAAAAGCCACACGTACTGCTGCAAGATAGCTGTGCCAATTCTACGTTACAAACCCTCAATGGCTTAAACACCTCAGAGCTGTCCAAGTTTATTTCTGGAGAAAGAAGGCACTTTCTCTGGCAGGAGAGTGCACTTGGGCTTTGTGTTAAATAGCTCTTGACTGCTGGAAGCAGGTCAAAAGGGCAGTTTATGTTGTCCTTTTTAGACCATGCCAAAATTGGTCAGGAGGTCTAAGAATCAGTACTACTCAAACCTGCTTAGATCTATCCTTCCAGCAAAAATACTTCTAAGTATTCATAGGTGCCCATTATAAAGTGATGGTACTCAGGCATATTTACATCAGTGACTTCCATAATGGAAACACCAGGTAGTTTTAATATTCTTAAGCCAAATAGTTTTGTCAACTTTTGAAAAACAGACAATGCATCCCAATAAATTCAAATGGCATGGACCCCTCCAGAATGTATTTCAGAAAATTTGGTGTCTCCTATCTCTTCATCAGTACCCCGGCGAGGAGAAAGGAAAAGAAAACTGACTAGTTTACACGAGGGGAAAAAACAACACAACCGAAACTCATATGATTCCCCTTAGGTGTGATGGGAGCCTGTGTTTAGATGTGTGAATAAAGAACAGGGGAGCAGTGAACAGTACTCATTATTCTAATTCCACTGATACCGCTTCAAACATTTTAGATAATGTGGCTACAACTCACAGACTATTTCAGACCTGCACCTTTCTATGATTTGTGCAAACTAGACTCAGTTATTAAAAGGAAACCTCTTTTTCCCAGCAGGCATGGCTCAGTGGTTGAGCGTTGACCTATGAATCATAAGGCCATGGTTTTATTCCTTCACATCCTATCCTGCATCCCTATCTCCTCTCCCCTCTCCTTTCTTCTTCTCTAAGAGCCCGGCCAAGGGAAGGGCCTGTGTTAGTGATCAACAATGAGTGATTTAACGTTGCAAAAAAAAAAAAAAAAATCATTCGTAAGATCTCACTACCCAATGCTTTCATATTCCTAAATACTTCATCCCAGAGGTGCATCTGTCCTTTCCCTAGAATACAACGAAGCCACTGCTGTTTTTTTTCAGGACAATGATGGCCTGTCATTTCAGTAGTCGCTTCTTCTGAAACCACAGGTTCACCTCATTCTTCCTACCGCACGGACGGAGGGAGGGTAAAAAGCACTGCGAGGCCGGGTGGCATCTCTGCAGCCGAAAGCTTCCCACAGCCAGGCCAGAGGAGCTGCAGAAACCCCC